AAACCCACTAGAGAGTTGGTTCTGACTCAATGATACGCAACAACAACAATTCCTCTTAATAAAACTATTCAAACTACTATCATGAGATGTAAATAAGGATAATCCCAAATTATTCTCAACATGTTAGACAATCAATTTAAATTTATAAGACATAATCAGGAGAACAATAGAGTTATGATGGAACCAGAGTCTAGAAGCAATAAAAAGGACAGAAAGGTACTTCATAATATGACCTTCGCAGGTGAAAATTGAGAGGAACCACATTTTCTTGTTGAGGAATAATGGGAATTCTCACCCACAAAAGACACGTAATTCTACCACTGTTCTTAGAGTATTTACCTTAATTTATATAGAAATTGCCAAAATCTGAGATGACACACAAGTCTCAGAAATCTTGTTCTCTTCATTTCCAGAAGAAGGAAGAAAAGTCTATGGGCCACTAAAGGGGCATCTCTTGGAGAGTAATTTCACCCTGCCCACACCTTTCTCAGTCAGTGTAGATTCTGACTGGGCCTGAGCTAGAAGGGCCCTGAGGAAGAAGATGCCAGCTCATCCCTCAGGCCATTTTTGAAAGGAAGTTAGGTGAAGCAGTTACTGCATAACAGCAACACATTTAACTGTTTAGGTTAAATTAACTTTATCTGGAATGTCTTAGAAATCCTTTTGAACTGAATGAGTAATAGATAAAATAATAGAAAGAAAATAAAAATGGAAGTCAAAAGTAGGTAACAAAGAAATATTTACCAAGAAGAGAATAATCATAATTGAGTGAACAAATACTGAATTTCTTGGTTGTGAATATTTCTTGATAAATGATTTTTGAATGATGGTTGTATACATTAACTAAAGGACTATCCTATACAAGAAAGACTTATCAGTGAAAATGAAAGACAAGTTGGTTCCCATTCTCATGGGCTACATTTCCCAACTGAGCTGATGACAAAGAAATCCAAGTAAATACAGAATGATACTGTAAAGAGAACATATAGAGCTGTGATAGTTATGCTATAGGAAATAGAGAAGGCAGCTCTGTGTGCCCAGTGTTGTTGGTTCTCACTCAATGGCAACAAGTTATTTCTTGAGCTATCTCTCACAGTGACCTGGAATATTTCATAAAAGGGATTACTGTATAGGAGCAATACTAGAGCTGAGAGTTGACTGGTGCTAACCTGTGCAAAGGCTGAGCAAACGTGGCTGTGTTCAAGGAACAGAAAGAAGGCCAGGTGGCTTAGAGGAGAGGGAGTTGCAGTGGAGGTGGTAATGGTGGTGGTAAAGAATTGGAGGAGTGGGTGTTTTAAAGAATTCCAGAGCCAGAACTCAGAAACTAATATCTATTGGATTTCCAAGGCTGTAAATTGCACCAGGGGAGATTGCCCACCTTTCATCCTTTGAACCACTGGTAGATTTCAACTGCAGGACAGGCACAGCTTCTGGGGGCAACGTCAAACAGATGACATCATTTTATTCTAATGTGATGAGAAGCTTTGTGCATTTTTAAGCAGAGGAAGGGTAGGAATCTTCCTAGGTGCATCCTAGATGCAGATAGATTTGTAGATGGAGGGACTGGAAAATAAAGGAATTCCTGGTTTATTGTTTTGATTTTTCAAATAGGAAGAAGTGAGGCAAAATTGTCAGTCAAGATAAGACTGAAATGTAAAATATGGGAAATCTGAATTAATTTATGTGAATAGACAGAGAAATGGTGGAAAAAGAAGGACTTTTGTTCTCCATGTGACTTTACTTATAGCAGTGTGGTGGTGGTGTTGTCATGTGCCGTCGAGTCGGAACTGACCCATAGTTGACCCTCCAGTGGGTTTTCAGAGGCAATTAGTTGCATGGGAGGAGATTGACCATCCTTCTCACATGAAGCAGTTGGTGGGTCTGAACTGTGTGCCTTTGGGATTGCAGCACAGCTTCTTACCACTAGGCCACAAGAGCTCCCTAATGTGTCCTACAGACACTTATTTTAGAATCTTACAATGTCCTTGTTCAATATCCACTTTCTGGGTCATACCCTGGACCTATGAGTTTTGGAGCGTGGGCTGGAACAGTGTTTCTCAAGCATGCTCTTGGGTGGGAACTGACTGAGAGCTGAGATACAGTCTGAAGAGGGTGTACAACAGGAGTAGAAGCCAGGAGAGAGGAGAGGGCAAAACATGAGCAAAGAAGGATGAGATGACAGGTGGGTAAGGAGATAAGAAATGCGTACTTGGGAGAGAAGCAATGGGAAATTGGGAGTGAGAAGCTTAGGTGGGATAATGTTCCAAAGGACTTGAAAACCAAATTGTTCTCTGGAAGCAAGGCTTTTGAAGCTCTGTCTCACATATTTTGGACATATTGTCAGAAGGGACCAGTCCTTGGAGAAGGACATCATACTTGGAAGGGTGGAGGGACAATGCAGGAGAGGAAGAACCTGGGTGAGATGGACTGACACAGTGACTGGGAAAATGGAGGTAGATGTTTTGGAGACAGTGAGATAGGACAGGGTTCCAAGCTATTTTTGCTACTTTTGCTTGCATCATGTCCTTCTCCAAGGAGTAGCCCCTTCTAGCAACATACCCGAAGTATTTGAGGCCAAGCTTCATCATTCTGGCTTCCAAAGACCACTCGGCAGCACCCTTCCAAAGACATTGATGTTTGTTCTTTTAACTAGCCATAGGATGTTCAGTGCTCTTCTCCAACACCACACCTCAAAGGCATCAGTTTGTCTGTCATCCTTATTCACTGTCCAAGCTCTCAGATACATAACAAGAGATTAAAAAGACCATGGCCTGAATCAGATGCACCATAGTCCTCAAACTGACATCATTACTGTTCAATAATTTGGAAAGGTCCCTTAACTGCAGATTTTCCCAGTGAAATGTGTTTCAAATCACAGGCAACTTGACTGCACATAACAACAGCAACAACAACAGGGAGCCTTTGTGGACTTTTGACAAATAAATGGAATAATGTGGAAAGGGAGGGAATCTATATAAACTTTTTACAAATGGAAATCTTAAGGAGGCTGGCGTTAGACTGACTTGTACAGAACAGGTTATTATTACATGGTTTAAAATAACCTTTTTTTCTTGTTTCTGTTTTTAAATAGAGTTCATTGCCATCAAGTTGATCCTCCTTCAGAGAAGTTGGTGTCTCTCAATGCTGAAACTCATGGTGACACATCCTTCTCACACATGGGGTCAGCTGGTGAAACATCCCCTGGCAGAGGGGCAGAAGGGAATGATCCCCTCTTTCATTGGTCAAACCAGAGACCTTCCTCTCTGACCAAAGGCAGGCCCTACAACTCCCTGAGTTGTACCCTCATTGTGGGTGGAGAAGTGGGGTTGTTTGTTGATGACTACCAGTCATGAGATGATGATGTTGGACACTCATGCCACTACTGCCTCAATCGCCCCTCCTCCTATGGAGCGGTCCACCTGTTATCACTGTGGGCCCTAGGTTCATTTTGGTGTCAGAGGGGTGTGGTCATACAACATCACCCCGACCAGTGAGCCACTGACTCCATGCGCTCCAGAACAGAACTGAGCTCTTAAAGCTTACTTGGCTGCAATCTTTAAGGAAATAGAGAAAAGCCTTTCTTCCCATGGGTGGTTATGTGGGTTCAAGCTACAGGACAAACAAACAAACAAACAAATGCAATCAACCACATTAGCAACAACACTTGACAGGTCAGTAGTCCCTGCCTTTCACGTATAAGTGACTCCGAAAGTGACGGACTATTTTCTGCAAACCAGTGTAGACTCAGAGGGCAGTGCTGCCGGAAGAATTTGACTCTCACTTGAGGTTGCTTTGTTGTTGCTGTTGCTATTGTTTTTGTTTTTAATTGCAAATGAAAACTGAATGTTAGTGGAAGCCATGTCTGTGTTGTGAAATACACGCTTGTTCAAAGGTGTTAATACGGAGGCAAATGAAATGGACCAGAAAACGCAGATGAATTTTTGGGAAGTGTCTCGTTAAGATCCAGAAGAAACGCCATTGTCAGGATAGCAGACAGTAAATTGTAATAAGATCAACATAGTGCAACAGCCCAGATGCTTTATCTAATTGAGGGTGGTCGCTTAAATTCTGGTCCACGCAATAGTCACATTGCTAATATGAGTAGTAACAGTTGTCATCGTTATTTGCCTAATCTCACTTGATATTCCATACTGCTCATCACTGGTTTCATTTTACAGATCAAGAAACCAAGCAAAAGCAAGTTAAATGACTTTCCCATGCCCTCCCAGTTATTGAGGTATTCATAATATAAAGCCTCTTAATAAACTAGCAATTCGTTGGACCCTGAAGGTAATTTAAAAAGTTATATTATTTTATAGCAACAATAATAAATATTATCTTTCAGAAAGATTATACTTCTGTGAAAGTATTCAAACTGGAAAAAAAGGGAGCCACGTTAAATGTTGAAAGGTCCTTCTAAAAGCCTGTCCCATCACAGAAGAGAAATAACACGAAGGAAGACGTTATTCTAAGTTATGTCTTCAATTTTCAAAATAACCTCACACATTTACTGTTCAAGACCTCTTCAACAACCTCACATCAAAGTGCAAAAGATCAGAGAATCGTCTCTGGCAGATAGGCACACTCTTCTGCTTTAGCGAAGTGAGTGGGAGGATCTGAGGCTTTTACTGGGTTGGAGCGCAGTTCTGAGTGTGCAGAAACCAGCCCTGTGGGATTATGTGCCCAGTGGGCGCTCTCACAGACCTCCGAGTGTCACATCCAGCCCAGTGGCATAACTGAATCCTGGTCGTGAGGAGTCCAGACAGGACTGAGCACACCGGGTGCCATATGGCACTTCTTGGTTGTGCAGTCTCCAATTCTGAAGGTCTTGGCTCCAGAAGGAGCGAGTGAGGTGCCGGAGATCGAGATCTCGGGGACTCCCATGTTTCCAGCGCTCTCCTCGCTTTCTCACTCTGGACACCCGCTTTGCATCGCAGGGCAGTGCCCTTCTGAGCCCCAGATTCGCATCCCTACTTCCAAATTCCCCCCTCCTTTCTCACCTAAGACCCCTGGCGCGATGAGAGCCAAGAAAACCCAAAGCAGGTGCATGGCTCCCATGCCCCCAGGAGTTCCAGCGAAGCGAGACCTTTGAGCCTCCGGGAGAGCAGAGTGTAGCAGGCAGGCGGCAGCTGCGAGCAAAGGGAGGTGAGCCCTTAAATAGAGTCTGACAGCACGTGCAAGGTTTGCTCATGCAGCTACAAGCAGCTTGGGGCCCAGACACAGCCCCCGCGAGGGGGCGGGGCTGGCGGGAGGAGGTGGGCGGGCCCAAGAACTCCGCCCTCTTCTCTCAGTCTCTCTTAGCTTTTCAACTTTTTAGACCTTGCAACTCAATACATCTATAGATCCCTCTCTCTGTGGAACAAATATTTCCACAAAATAACAATCACCTTGACAGATAGCCACTGTTGGCCTGTTCTGTTCAACTCACATCTATTTCCATAGCCTTCTATTTGTAGGATTCTGGATTGTATTTCCTCAATCCACTTCACTACCCTCTCTGAGATCTAAGCATTCAAAACTTGTTTACTTCGAAGGGAAACCTATGAACAGGAGGCAAGGCTTCTATTATCCTCATTATATTGATGTAAACACAGTAAAGTAAAAATTGCACAGAGAATCCCCATATGCCTATCCTCCATTAGTTAAATGCTGTCACTATACCCTTAAGTTCTTTATCATTATCTCCTAACAAAACTAGCTCATTGTCATGGAGTCAGAATCGACTCATAGCTGATCCTCCAGTGGGTTTGCAGAGGGATTGCCCGGCTTTCTGGGGCGGAGCCATGGGCGCGTGCGAACTGCTGGAACAGCGCCCCTGTCGGGTGAGCCGTGCAACTCTCTACAGACCATGACACTGTCTACTCATGTACACCTATCTACGCATACTTCTTCTTGTTAGTGGCCTTCTAGTCGACTACTATTTGATGAGCAACATATCTGAATCTTGACCTATCCTGCAGCACCCACAGGATCTCTGATAGGCTAAAGCACATTGGTATAACCACTGTGTCAATCCATCTTGTTGAGAGTCTTTCTTTTTTTCCCCTCTGACCCCCTGCCTTTCCCAGCATCATGTCTTTGTCCAAGAACTGACCCCTCCTGACCACATGCCCAAAGTCTAAGAGACAAAGTTTCGCTATCCTTGCCTCAAAGGAACACCCTGGTTGCACTTTCTCCATGACAGAGCACTCTTCAACATCACGGCTCAAAGGCATTATATATATATAGTTGCTGTAAGTTAATTCCAATTATTGGGATGCTGTATATACAGAGTAGAATATCTCTGTACAGTTTTCAAAGCTGTCGACTTCAGAAGGAGATCTCCAAGACCATTTTCCAAGACTCCTCATTTCTGGCTGGTTCTGAACCACCAACCTTTGGGTAGTTGAGCACTTAACTATTTGTACTACACAGGAACTAACATATAGGATTAAATATTTAGAATTGTATCATTATTGCTTTGAAATAATTTGATATATAGTAATTTCAAGTATGATTCTACCTCTTCTCAATACTTCAGTGTGTTATTTCCTTAAAACAAGATATATCCTATAAACCTTAAAACAAAACCTATCTTATATACCTTAAAACAAGGTATATCTTCTATAATTACTGTATATCAATCAAATACAGGACATTAACATTGATACAATGCTTAATCTAAGATACAAACTATATTAGATACCAAACAAGTGAAAGTCCACAACAAAAGAAAAACAAAAAAACCCAAACCATTATGTTGTTGTTGTTGTTATGTTCCATTGAGTTGCTTGCAACTCATAGTGACCCTATGTACAAGAGCCCTAAACCCTGCTCTATCCTGTGCCAACTTCACTGTCTCCAACACACCCACTCCCATTACTCTAGCCACTTAATCGATTCATCTCATCTAGAGTCTTTCTCTCCTGCACCGTCCCTCCACTCTCCCAAACATGATGTCCCTTTCCAAAGACTGGTCCCTTCTTGAAACAGGCCCAAAGTATGTCGGACAAAGCTTCAGAATCCTTGCCTCCAAGGAGCAGCCTGGCTTCACCCTCTCTACGACGAACCTGTTCTCCTAGCAGTCCATGGTATATTCAACATTCTTCTCCAGCACCACAGCTCATAGGCATCAATTTTTCTATCACCCCTAGTCATTGTCCAGCTCTCTGATGTATAGCATGCAATTGCGAAGACTGTGGCCCGGATCAGGCACATCTTAATCTCTAGCCAGATGTCATTGCTCTTCAGTACTCTGGAGAGGTCCCTCACAGCTGACTTTCCCAACACAATTCGTCTCTTGATTTCCTGGATGCTGGTACCAAGAGTGTTGATTGTGGAACCAAGCAAACTAAAATTGTTAACAATTTCAATCTCTTCACCATGCATAATGATGCAATCCCTTCACCATCTATAATGATGCTGCCAATTGGCCCAGTGGTAAGAATCTTTGTTTTCTTGATGTTGAGCTTCAATCTATATTGAAGGATGTAGTCCTCGACCTTCTGCAGCAGCAAATATTTCAGGTCATTCTCAGTTTCAGCAAGCAGGGTTGTGTCATCTGCATAATGCAGGCTGTTGATGAATCTTCCTCTAATCCTAATGCCACATTCCTCCTCATACAGCCCAGCCTCCTAGATGATCTGTTCTGCCTAGAAAAAAAAATCCAACCCTTTTTCTTTTCGTTTAAGACCGCTCCACAGTTCAATGCTTGTTGTAGACCGAGGGTAAAGTATATTAATTAGTATTAATATTGATACAGAACACCAAGAATGTATAAGTAAAAGAGGCAAAGCAAGAGGCTAACAGTTCTTGAACGACTGAAGCACAGATCTCAGCTTCCCTGTGCCTTTATTGAAAATTGTGAGGGAGCAAACTGTGAAGAGAATTCTATGCAAATGAAGCTAAGCTCTTTCTATTGAAAACCTTGTACTTGACTCAGGAGGGAGGGGTTAACAAATACAATACAAGAATGGTGTAAACACCTAAGGTTTGTCTTAGTGCCTACTCCTATAAACATTTAAGGTTTGCCTTAGTGCTTCAGGATGAATTCCAGCTTGTTTCCAAACCTCCTTCCTGATACGGCATTTGGTTTATTATAAATATTTAGCATGAAATTTGACTTCCCACAAATGCTAGATTTGGTTGTTATGGCTTTGTTCTTCTTTTTCTTGTCCCCCCTCCCCCATTATCCTTTAATTTGAAAATGAACCTCAGTCTTTTTTGTCTTTCATGATCTTGATATTTTTGAAGAATACCTGGTTGTTATTCTTGTAAACTCTCTCTCTGGTGGCCTGTAAACTAGGTCATGTTGTCAACTCAAAGGTATACAGTTCAAATCCATGGGAGGAAGATAGGCAATGTCCTCCCATGGAATTTACTGCCTTTGAAAACCCCCTGTAGGGTCAGCCATGAGTAATTTCTGATTTGACAGCACATAACAGCAACAACAAGAACAAGAAGAATATTATCCTTAAATTAATTATCTGTTATAGTGTAACAAATTACTAAGAAGTAGTGATTTAAGGAATACAAGAAGAATTTATATTATACAAAGGCTTTTGACTGTGTGGATCATGACAAGTTGTGCCGACTTTGAGAAGAATGAGAGTCCCAAACACTTGATTGTGCTTATGGGGAACTTATATCTGCATCAGGAGGCTGTTGTGTGAATGGATCAGAGGAGAATTGCATGGTTTGGAAATTGGGAAGGGAATACCCCAAGGATGTATTCTATCTCCCCACGTGTTCAATGTATATGCTAAGCAAATTATCCGAGAAGCTGGACTCTATGAAGAGGAATGTGGAATCAGGATTGGAGGGAGATTCATCAATAATCTGTGTTATGCAGATGACACACTCTTGCTGGCTGAAAGTGAGGAGGACTTGAAGCACTTGTTGCAGAAGATCAAGGAATGCAGCCTTCAGTATGGACTGCATCTCAATATCAAGATCCTTACCACTGGATCAATAGGCAGTGTCGTGATGAATGATTGAAACTGAGAAGAGAAGGATTGAAACTGTCATGAGAGGAGATTGAAATTGCCAACAGCTTCATCTTGCTTGGATCCACAATTAACACCTTTGGTACGAGAAGCCAGGAAATAAGAAGATTTATTGCACTGGGAAAATCTGTAGTTAGGGACCCTTCCTAATTATTGAGGAGTAGTTTGAGGACTTAGGTGAGTCTGATTCAGGCCATAGTCTTTCTGATTACTATGCATCTGAGACCTGGAATATGAATATGGACGACAGGAAAAGAATCGACGCCTTTGAGCTGTGGTGTTGGAGAAGATCACTGAGCATTCTTGGGCAGCCAAGAGAATGAACAGACATATCATGGAGAGAGTGCAGCTGGAGGGCTCTTTGGAGGCAGGAATCATGAGGCTTTGCCTCACATACTTTGGACATATTACTAGGAGGTGCTATACCTTGGAGAGTGACATGATGCTGGGAAGGGTGGAGGGTCAGCAAAGAAGAGAAAGACCCTCAACCAGGTGGATTGACATGGTGACTGCTGCAATGGGCTTTTTTTGTGTCAGAAAGTGTGGGGTTGGCACAGGACAGGACTGGGTTCAGATATTTTGTTCACAGGGACACTATGAATCATACTTTACCTGACGGCACCTAACAGCAGCAACAACAACAATAGCAATATAGTGACTTTAAAAAAAACTCTGGTGGTGCTCGCTTCGGCAGCACATATACTAAAATTGGAACGATACAGAGAAGATTAGCATGGCCCCTGCGCAAGGATGACACGCAAATTCGTGAAGAGTTCCATATTTTTTTTAATTTTAAATGATCTTTAACATTTGTTTCCTCTAGTAAATTGCATTTTCCATGAAGGAAAAAAAAACCCAAAAAACAAACTCTGGTGGCTTAATGGTAAGGAATCGTGTTGCCAACCTGAAGGCATGCAGCTTAAATCCACCAGCTGCTCTATGGCAGAAAGATAGATAATCTTTTCCTGTATGGTTTACTGCTTCTGAAAATGTGCTCAGTTCTCACTCCACAGTATTCAATAATAACAAGAAGTGACTTAAAGGGAGCTATAGACCATAGGGTGTTGTGCTGCTAACCAAAAGGCCGAGCATCTCTGGTGGTTCAAATCAATTAGCAACCTTAAAGAAGAAAGATGGACATTCTC